TTCCCCTCCCCCAGGGCAGGAGGCAGGAACAGACCACAGCCAGTCAGGTGAGACAGATCAATGCATGGCTTTGCTTCCTTTCCTTGATTTCACCTGTCTGAGGGGCTGACATCTGCTTTGCTGTGAGACAGAGTCCGTGTTATACAACCGTGAGAGGTCTGGGCCAGGAAATCTGGCTGTGCATCTCCTCACCTCCTGCTGCTCCTGGACAGGGCACCCTTCCCAGTGCTGACTGCCCCCAAGGACTGCCAGTCACCAGGAAGGACAGCACCAGCATGAGCTGCTTTTAGGAGGTGAAGCAGCAGATGAGCAAACTCTAGGACAAGGGGCACCTGGGAGTGGAGCTACCCGTCTCCCCTCAAGTCCGGAAGCCAAAAAGCTGCAGCATGTGGTCCCATACTCACCATCAGGTCTGCAGCAGACAGTGGCTCTCCATCCAGAAGGAACTGCAATTACAGAAACCCATTGTCAGCCAGGCTGGATTCACAAGCTGCTGGCCTCACCACATCAGCTTTCTCCAGCTGGGCAGGATGCCAACCACACCAACACCCACATCAGACAGATCCCTGCCCTGAGGTCACAACTGTCAGGTCCCTGCCAAAGCCACCCCTGCATGCCTAGAACCACAGTCGTTCCCAGACATCACAGCTAAAGCCCAAGGCTGGAAAGCAGCTCTGCAATCCTGTCTGCCGTCCTACTTGGCTGTAACATTTCCTGCAGTTTAATCAAGCTCCCTGAGGAAGAGACTCCCCACAGGGATTTACAAACACTAGTGGTGGAAACTCCACTGCCAGTTTCAGTGTCACACACTTGTGCCCTGTTTCCAGCCAGGATGCATCTAGCTTCACCTTCCAGCCACCAGATCTGGTTATACCTGCATCTGCCAGACTGAAGAGTGCCATCATCCACCTGTCTCCACACAAAGTACCTGACCCAGGCACCCCTCAGTCTTCTCTGCTCAGCAAAGTAGACAGTGTTCCTCAAATCTCATTACAAGGCAGGTTTTGCAGAGACAGCGTTGGACTGTTCCCAAGCAAAATTAGCTGTGCAAGGAGCTGACAATCCCAGCCCCCTGCTCCTCCCCAACTGGGCAGGACGCTTTGGAGCAGAAGGGCAGGTGAGCTCATGCAAGCTGTGAAATCACCGAACAGCGGGAGATCACACAGGTCATTTTGGAAGGGACAGAGCCAAGCCAGGGTCAGCAAAGAACAGGTTCCAGGCAGTGCCTGCTGCAGGCTGAATCCCTCCAGTACAGCCTCCTGGCAGACCCAAATACCCCATTGCTAGGGCCCAGGCTAGGTACAGTACCCTGCTTTCAAACATGGCAGGAGCAGAGTTTAAGGATCAGCAGACACCATCCCTGGCTCAACTCTGTGGTCCTGTTCCCATACTTATTCAGTGAATGTGTTAGAAACAGGAGACCAGAGTTCAATGCCCATGGCTCCAGCCCACATCCCTTGCTAAACAGGCCGGCCCAGTGCACTCCAGTTCCCAACCTGTTATTCTCTCCTTGGCTGTCCTGGGCCCCGACAGAAAGACCCTACAGCCCACGCAGGAGGCATGTGGCTTCAATACTCACGTTGGAGGAAGCTGCCCTAGGAGACAGGTGGACAATGGCCGCAGACCGGTGGTTCTGGTGGAACCACAACGGGTTTCCCTCCAAGTGCAGCTGAGAGAGACAGTGCCATCAGTCATCCGCATTGCAGACTGCCCCAAGCCTGTCCTAGCCCACACCCAGTTCCTGCCCCAGGGCACCAGGAGCTACAGATGAGCTGCTGCTTCCAGCTGGTGATGCAATGAGGCTAGCCCAGAACTACTGCTTCCTGTTGTCCCTCCGATGTGGACAGTGGGTCCACAGAGAGACGGGAGTTGCAGAAACTCCCATTTTCATTCCCAACTCTACAGGCATTGTCTCAAGAGTGGCTCCCTGCTGATGCCCACAAGAGGAACTCTTTGCTTTCCTCCACGTGCAGTGCAACTGGACTCACAGCCCTTGGTGCTGCCACAGGCAAACACAGCACAGACCGCATGCAGGGGTGGGGAGTCCATACCCACGCGTGTGTCACCAGAGGGGGCTGAGGTCTGGTCATACACACCCATGCATGCGCAGGAAACTGCAGAAGGGCACAGGCACAGCCCAGGGCTCCTCGACTTGGGCAGGGACAGACGAGGCAGCTGGGGAGAGGGGGCCAGGCAAGGCGCAGGGAAGGAACCTTCACTTGAATAGGGGGCAGGATTCTTGGAGACAAACTGGACGCCTGACAGCCTCCATAACATCTCTAGAGCTTCCCCCTCAGAGACTGGAGTCTGAATTTAGCCCAGATCTCCCCTTCTTACTGGGAGGCTACCCTGCCCCCAAGACCATGGCACCCCCACCCCCCTTGCAGGCCCCGCACTCACTTTTCTCAGGCCATGCAGCGTGGACAGTGGTGCCAACAGGGCATGTTCCAGCAGCAGGTTGTAGGCCACGTCCAGGTGCTGCAGGTTCACCAGCTGCTCTGCCCCTGCAGAGACCAGGGAGGACCAAACCCAGCGTCAGAGCCCTTCCTTCTGCCTCCCCACAGGCTACACTGGTCAGGTGCCCAACAAAATCTGGGCAGCAATGGGTCCTAGCTCCCCTGTGGATGGGAAGGGCAGAAGAAGCAGATTCAGGCCCTCCCTGTGCCTGGGCTGGCACCGTGTTCCTTCCTTTCCTGGGCTCACCATGAAGACTGTCCAACTCATTGCTGCGCAGAATCAGAGTCACCAGCTTGGTCCGGCTGAACAACCCAAGGCTTGGCACCTTGGACAGGAAATTGTAGGCCAGGTTCAAGTACTCCAGCTCTGTGAGGGTCTGTTTAGAGAAAGAGAGGTCCCACAGTCAACACGGTTACTTGCCAGCTGTCGTCTGGCCAGGTCTCCATGCTGGAGCATTCCCCGAGTCACTGTGGCTCCTACAGCAGCTTTTGTCAGAGGCTCCTCACGCACTTTACAGCAACCTGTGCCAGGTCTGTGCCCAGTGTCACAGCTACGCATGCACCCCCATATTCAAGTGCACACATGCGCGCACACACACACTTGGGGCCCAGGGTCTTAACCACCATTAAGCCCAAAACAAAGCAAGGCAGGAAATGCATAAAAGGTAAGGAAAGTAATTTAATAACAGATTTGTGCTTGGAAGGGCTGAATTGCTTTTCAAGACAGGAGAGGGGAAGAGAGGCAGCAGAGCATCCGACCAACGGCATTTCTGCTCCTAAGACTCCAGTGAAGCAGGAATCTCCACCCCTGGGAATTTTCAAGGGCAGGTTGGACAGATGGACACGTGCTGGGGTGGTTTAGTCAGGGACGATCCTGTCTGGAGCAGGGGGCTGGACTAGCTGTGACCTTGTGAGGGTCCTGCCAGCCCAACTTATAATCCTGTGATTTCCCAGTGTTGCCAGTGGGCTGAGGCTGGGGGACTGTCCCAGGTCACAAGGGAGCCTGGCAGAGCAGGAGCTGCACTCTGCCTCAAGACCCCATCCAGCACGTTGTGCCACCCCTCCTCACGACCATGCAGCAGTCAAGAGACTCTCTGGGATACATGTCCCCTGGGACCAAGAGAAGCAGTGCTCTGACTCAGCTCCATTCACTGCCTGAGCTCTTTTCCAGAAAGCCAAGTGGCCCCACCTGGGTGAGGGTTAAGAGCTCTCTGCATGGACGTCCAAGTTCTCATTGGCACTGATGGAGTGTGGGACTGAAAAGCCATGCAGAGGTCAGAGTCTGGCTCCCTGCTACTGCAGGCAGCTGCAGCACAGGCTGCCCCAGCACCCACTTCATAGGCAGCACCCACAGCTAGTGAGATGGCTGGCCTCAGCTGCTCCTGCTGGAAAGCTGCTCAGAGCCTCACTCTATAGGAGCAGCCAGGCTACCACTGACTTTTCACTGAGGCTGCCCTCATTAGTCATTAATATTTCAGAGTCCACATCTCACAGAGACTGAATCCCAGGCTCTACTGTTTTAGACAGGCCAATTTCTACAGAGGGCAGTGGGGCCGGGTCACAGCGTCAACTCACCGTGACCCAGACACAGCAGCTTGCAGTCTTCCACATCCCGCATGGCAGGGGTGGATGGTGCAGTCACTCCCCCAGTTTGATTCCTGGAGTCAACTGACTTCAGGGCTCATTATAATTCCTTCCATACCCCTTCTTCCACAGGTGTTAATACCCCCCTCTCCTTTTCAGTGGTATCCATGTTCCATTAATCAACCATCCTTTCTTCTGTCTTCTGCCTGTCCGTTCCCTGCTTCTCTCAAAGTAGCTCACATTTCACAGCCCTGCCACTTCTTTTCAGCTCTAGCTAAAAACATGAACTCATGGAAATGCTGAGCTTTGGTAAACATTCATTCAGGTATGGAAATAACTTTCAGTGAAGCACTGCATACTCTGTCAAGAAAGTGTGTTTTATAAATCTGGAGACAAGACTGAACTCACATTTAATTCTAATGACTACAGAAGTAACAAAACAACATCTTTTGATTATTTTTAGTTAGCTTGTTGCCTTCTTTACATAATGGACAACATAGCAAATTACTGCATGTTCCAACAAAGTTACTCATTTTTGCTTTGATCTTAAGCCAAGTAACTCAGCCCAAGGCCCCCTGTATAACTAAATAATCTAGTTTCTTTCTAACTGAAGAACACTCTGTCATGTTACAAGTGATGATGCACCCCACCATTTGCACCCCATCCCCTTCAGGTCTGCCCTGCACAGATACCCTTACAGACGCTGCACAGATACCCTTACAGTAGCACGGCCACAGCCACACGGAGAGGACACAGCAGCATGAAGAGCTCGGCTGCTGGTACAGGAGAGGCTGCATGGGTAACACTGGCTTCATTGGCTTTGAGGGGGTGAGGGCACTACCCCCAGGCAGCACCATTTCAAGGTACAAGTTAAAGCAATGCACGGGAGACCATTCATCCATGCCCAGCCTGATGTGCCTGGGGCAGTGCCGCACACATGTGAAGCACTGACTGAGGCTGGTCTTGCCTCTTGTCTAGTGGTGCTGAGGAGAGGAGCTGGGAATGCCTTCCCTCAGCCACAAGCCACAGCTGGAATAACAGCTGCTACATGATGTGGTCTCCCACGTGTCACCTGCCTCCCCCTGGCAGAAGGTGCAAAAAGCCTATTGCCCTGCTAGGAGGGGCAGACAGAGCAGAAAGAGCTTGGTGGGGGGCGCCACGTGCGGCGGCAACAACAGCACAGCAGGTGCAAATCCAAGCAAACCCCCAAGGCACAATGCAGGGCTGGGAAAGGCTGAAGATGTGCAGGGAACCCAGCACCACTGAGACTCACTGTTAGATAGTGCTCGCAGTCCTGGATTCTGTTGTGACTCAAATCCAACACTTTCAGGGCATTCAGTAATTGCTAAAAGAGAGAGGGCAACAGCTGTTGTGGAACCTGCTCAGACCCCATGGAAAGCAATCGTCTCTGCTGTGGAACAGGAACTGCACCCCACTTGGCAGCACTAGGCTGAGCAGCATGCACATGTCCCACACCCTCCTAGTCGGGTCACCCTGCACACCGGGTGGAATCCCAGACCCAGGAACAGGGGCCTGCTCACCAGCGAGTCATCCAGAGCAGTGATGAAGTTGTAGCCGAAGTTGACTGACTGCAACTCCAGCCAGGGAAGGGCCGAGCTCAGATCCCCACCACATGCTGAGATGATCTCCTAAGGAGGTGAGGATGAGGAGGGATCAAGGACCAGCTATCAGAGGTAGAGAGACCAGTCCCAGAGAACAGGTGGCCCCATGCAGAGCTACCCTGCTGCATCTTGAAGCCTGTGCTACTGTTCAGAGCCACACCTACCAGCTGGCCACCCACAGCTCCTCTGGGAGTAGCAGAACCCTAACTGCATATTTCAAGAAAGTCTCTCAGGGCAGGGCATGGTCCCAGGTGACTGCAGCTATCTGTCTCCAGAGGCCTTACCTGAAGGCACTGGACTGCAGATGCAAATTGAATAACAGAGCTATTTAGCAGCTGTTTCAGATCAGCCTCTGCAAGAGCCAGCCCAGTCCCAGAGTCACACATTCTGCACTCCAGCAGAGGCTGCAGCTCAGACCGGGGTTGTGACTACAGCACTGCTGCAAGGTCAACGCTGCCTGACAGCAGAGTCCCAGGCTGGCAGCAGGGCCCGTGCCTCACCCTTCTTCCTGGCCAGGGTTAGTCTTGCAACCACCACTGGGAAGGAAGCTGGCTAGGACCCCACAGACCCAGGGGCAAGGTGTCACCTGCAGGCAGCTGCAGCCCAGGCCGCGTGGAGGCCACGCTCGGGCAGAGACCTGGGAGAACAGAGAAGCATGGAGATGAGGAAACCCTGGCCCAGCAAGGCAGCAGAAGCCTTCATGGCAGCCAATGCTGCTCGAGTGGCCAGAGACTGAAATGCCTGTAACCGGGGGGCAAGGAAACCTGCCCCTGCCACCCACAAGACTGCAGGCATCAGCATCTCGCTAGCACTGCCTGCCCCGGCTGCAATCAGAGCCAGCTCCCTGGGCAGGGCGGAGGGACGGAAAGAGCTTTACAGAATGTTGACAGACAAGGCAGTTCCATCAATCCCCCCCACACAGCCCCCAGCCCCACCCAGAGGCCTGCAGGGCTAAGCAAAGGATCCCCAAGCCCAGCCCAAGGCCAGAGCCCGGCTCACCTCTAGGGTGCTGATGCATTTGCAGCATGTTAACGATTCCAGCTGGGAGTAGACAAACCGCAGCCCCCGGAGGCAGTGCAGAGGGACGGACTTAAGCTGCGGTGGTGCCGAGACATAACGCAGTGAGGAACTATCACAGCCAGCGGACTGGCTGGCCCAGCCCAGCCCAGCCCAGGCCCAGCCCAGCCACACTAGAGCTGCCACCTCCCAGCTGCAGCCGACAGCCCCCCTACCCCTCACTCTACACCCAGTGCTGTGGGAGCCAGACTGAAAAGCCAGGATACTGTCCAGCCACCAGGTGACTTGTCCCAGAGAGCTACACAGGGCACCCTGTGCACTCACCTCCAGGCGTCGGAGAGACTTGAAGGGAAAGATCTTCACAGCTGCCTGTGGCACGGAGCTTGGGGTGTGAATGAGCTGGAGGGAGCAAACCAGGAGTCATTCCAACCCTCAGGAAACAAGAGCTGCAGCACCGACACTGCAGATCCACCCTGCTCCTCACAGCCCCATACCCCACCAACCTCCCTCTGGCTTCAGTGCTCAGCGAGGGGTGCTTTTGCCTCACCTCCAGACTTGCTGCCTCAGGCATGGTCGGGAACAACAGCCCTGGCATCACTGTGGCTGCTACAAACAGCAGCCCAGACAATTCATGAATAAGCCCAGTCTAATCCAGTCCAGACACCGCAGGTAACCGGACACAGTATTGGAGAGCAAAGCCTTGCCTGGGAGAGATCAGGGCTCCCCCTCCTCCCCACATGGCTGTACCAGTGTCAGCACAGGGGGGAGTTCAGCTGGATTAACTGCTCCCCACCCTCTTGATCAGCCTTTCCATCCAGCTGCCCTAGAGCAGTGCCGTCCACACGGCCCCTGCACTGGGTCCCAAGCCTGCACTACAGCTCCCAGCAGTGCCAGCATCCACTCAGCTGAGCAGTGGGAGGTGGTGCATGCACCTCCCAGTGCAGCACAGGGCAAAGGAAGCCACAAGCTGCAACCACATGAGACAGACTGGGCCATTCAAGGTATTGTATTCATGTCAGCAGCATGATAGTCATCCCAGACTGAGGACTTGGGAGCAGGGGCCAGAGCTCACACTGAATTTACACAGCCATGGCACTGCACTGGTGACATGCGACCAAAGGAAAGTCATAGGATGTTTGCCGTGCTGCAAGGAGCCAACATCCAGGGCTTCATCTGCACTGCAGAACTTCACCGACAGAATTGCAGAGCCACGGGACTAGAAGGGACTTTCAGCCCCGAGCTTGTCCAAACCAGCCCAGACAAACAGTGTCCGACCTCTTAGCATCACCCAACACCACCAAACTTCGTCATCAGCAATTTGGATGAGGGCGTGGAGAGCACCCTCTCCAAGTTTGCTGATGATACCAAGTTATGGGGCAAAGTTAGTACACCGGAGGGCAGGGAGCAGATTCAGGCTGACCTAGACAGGTTGGATCAAGGGGCAGAGAGAAATAGGATGCAATTTAATAAAGATAAGTGTAAGGTACTTCACCTGGGAAGGAGGAACCCCCAGCACACCTATAGGTTAGGGAGTGTCCTTCTCAGCAGCTCAGAGGCAGAGGGGGATCTTGGAGCCATAACTGACTCCAAGATGAACACGAGCCGGCAGTGTAACGAGGCCATCAACAAGACCAATCGCACCTTGTCATGCATTAGCAGGTGCATGACTAATAGATCAAAGGAGGTGATGCTCCCTCTCTATGCGGCTCTGGTCAGGCCACAGTTGGAGTACCGTGTCCAGTTTTGGGCGCTGCACTTCAAGAGGGATGCGGGGAATCTCGAGAGGGTCCAGAGGAGGGCCACTCACATGACTGACCTTCGTGATAGACCTTCGTGAGGTTGAGAGCGCTGAATCTCTTCAGCCTTCACAAGAGACGGCTGAGGGGAGATCTTGTGGCCACCTATAAATTTATTAGGGGAGGTCAACGGGGAATAGGGAAAGCGCTGTTTACTAAGGCGCCCCAGGGACTGACTAGGAATAACGGGTGTAAAATAGTTGAGAGGGGATTTAGATTAGATATTAGGAAGAAATTTTTCACAGTAAGGGTGGCCACGATCTGGAATGGGCTTCCAAGAGAGGTGGTGCTATCACCTAGCTTGGAAGTCTTCAAGAGGAGGCTAGACAGTCACCTGGCTGGGGTCATCTGACCTCGGTCCTCTTTCCTGCCAGGGGCAGCGGGTCGGACACGATGATCCATTGTGGTCCCTTCCGACTCTACAATCTACGAATCATACCCGACCCTGCCACAGGTAGAGCCGGGGGCTGTGGAAGCCAACATCCTGCTGCCGCCAGGGGTGTTAATATACACTTGAAAGATCCCAGGCAGAGGCCATGCCACCTGCTACAGAGGATGGCAACCCCCACCACCTCCACCCCCCAAATTTATACGAATCTGACAAGAGGGAAAATTCCTTCTGGACTCCAGATCTGGTGTCGGCCTGACTTTCAGCAGAGGGGCAGGACCCTCCAGCCAGAACCCTCTGGGGTTAGGTCCCAGCAGGACCACTGGCACACCAGATCTCAGAACTCCACTGCACCCATGCCCAAATTTCCTGTGCCGCAGGGCTCCTTCTGCCAGCAGCAACCGCCTCTCTGCTGAGCATAGAGGCTTCTGCTAATGGAGGACGCGTGGAGATGCTCATGCGCATTCTGCTGGCTGCCGCGGCCCCAGAGCACACGCCATGACCTGGCAGCACAGCACTAGGAGCCACTGAGAACGCGTGGGCATATACATGATCTCATGCTGGCAGCTGCAGGTCACTGCAAGAGCATCTGGCAGCAGCGGTGGGCGGTGGCTGGTACAGCCAGCCTCCTCAACATGACAGCTCTCTACACCACAGCTGCCATTGCAAGAGCCCAGCAGCAGCCGGTCGCAGAACAGCTTCTGTCCAAATAGATACAGCAAGCCTCCCTCCCATAGCCCTGCTGCATAATGCAAATACTGACAAGATACTTGACTAGCACTAACTTGAAGCACTGCCCTTGATCCCATGCTGCTAATCCAGGCCCATCCCCCTCGCCTTGCTGTTGACCCAGCCCTCTGCCCTCTCACTTGTGCCATCATCTACAAACTAGTCCGTCTACCGGATCTCAACTAGTCTGTCCCAGGGATCTCAGGAACACGACCATTGTGACAATCTACAAGAAGGGGGACAAATCTGACTGTGCGAACTACAGGAGGATTTCCCTCCTGTCCATTGCAGGCAAGATCCTGGCCCGCATCCTCCTGAACCACCTTCATCCCGTCGCTGAGGAGATCCTTCCAGAAACCCAGCGCAGCTTCCGACCATCCCGGGGCACTGCAGACATGGTTTTCGTCGCCAAGCAGATCCAAGAAAAATGTCGGGAGCAAAATCAAAAACTGTTCCTCTTCTTCATTGACCTGACCAAGGCGTTGGATTCCTTAAATCGTGAAGCTCTGTGGACCATCCTTCAACACCTTGGCTGCCCGCTGAAGTTTATCACCATGCTGAGGCTCATGCATGATATGACCACCACTGTCCTGAGTGGAAGATCTGAAACCGATGCCTTCCACGGGGTCAAACAGGGTTGTGTGATCACCCCCACCCTGTTCACCATCTACCTGACCATCATCATTCACCTCATCAGAAATGATCTACCATCTGACATCAGTATCCAGTATCGACTGGATGGGAAGCGTTTCAATCTTGGGCACTTCCGGACAAAAACGAAACTCACCAAAGACATCCACGACCTTCAGGTTGCGGATGATTGCTATGTGATGGCTCACTCTGCACAGGATGTGCAAGCGACCTTAGATCTCTTCAACGCTTCGTATAAGAGACTTGGTCTGTTCTTGAATATCACCACGACAAAGGTTCTCCATCAACCCTCCCCAGGCCAGCTGAATTTCCCTTGTGCTATCTATGTAGACACGGAGGCTCTGGAGTACGTGGAGCACTTTCCCTATCTCAGCAACCACCTCTCTCAACGGGCTACCATCGATGAAGAAGTCCAGCTCTGGGTCAGCTGCGCCAGCGACGTCTTCTTCAAGCTGCAACAACATGTCTTTGAAAATAGACACCTTCGGAAGTCAATGAAGGAGCTGGTTTACAAGGCTGTCGTGCTGACCACCCTCCTCTACTGCAGTGAAATCTCGACTGTCTATCGACATCAAATTAAGATCCTCAAGAGCTTTCACCAGCGGTGCTTGGTTCGAATCCTGGGGATCAAATGGGAGGACTGCTGGACCAGCGCGAGCATCCTCCACAAAGCTGCGTCCACCAGCATCGAAGCCTTGCTCTTGAGAAATCAACTCCGATGGACAGGCCACTGCGTCCGGATGTCTGAGACCTGCCTTCCTCGCCAGATTCTCTTTTCCCAGCTCTCCGTTGGCCAACACTCAAAGGGCAGCCAAAGGAAATGATACAAAGACGCACTCAAGGTCACCCTCAAACAGAGGCATTGACACCAACAGCTGGGAGGAGCAAGCTGCTGACTGTTCGGTGTGGCACCACCTGGTCCACCAAGGCACGCACCACTTTGAGGCCCAACGACTCGATACTAAGGCAGAACGGTGGCGGTGGCAGCAGGAGAAGGAGAACAACCCAGGGCTGTGAATCCCACTCCCCCATGCAACAACATGCCCCTGTTGCTGAGGAGTGCGTGTCCAGAATCGGGCTCCTCAGTCACCTGAGGACACATCAAGCCTGATGGATGTCATCTTCGACTCCGAGAGACTGCTGCCACCGCCGAGTCTGTCAGCTGGTTTCTCCAAACAGATCAGTTACTGCCCTGTCACAGGGGTGCTGCCCTTCCAGTACTTGGTCCCGCTGATATAACAAATGGCTCCAACACCAGCACAGGCTGCAGAACATTTTCTGGATTAACTCATTTCCCTGCCCTCCTGACAGCGCCCTGGCCCCTCTAGTCTGGGTACCCCAAGGATTTACCATCTCAGGAGGCCACTGCCACCAGACCCTCCCTTCCTCCAAGGGCACAGAGACTTCCAAGCTAATTAACATCCCGTTCCCACCCCCTAAGAGCATCTTGGGGAGGAGAAAAAGCGCTGTAGTGCAGCACAACCTGCAGCCCTTAGTGCTCTCGGGCCCCATCTCTGGGAACATCCTCCCTCTGGGGCTGCGGCTGTTCCACAACAATTAACAAGGCCCGTCTCCAAGATGCCTCCACAGCCCCCTTTCATCCCCTCACTGTTATCACCCCCCAGCAGCACCCTTGTATGTTTAGTGCCAAACCTTCCCTGCAGCTCCTGTGTCAAAGGTGCTTGTAACTCCCCCTTGCTCCCGCCCTCCACTCCAACCCATCTGTTTCAGCCTAGAATTACAGTGCCCAGCTCCAGGGCATCACTGACAGCCCCTCCCGGAAGACACCACTACAGCAGCCACTGTGTAACCAGGCTCTCACACACCTGAGGAAGCAGGAGCAGCTCCTCGGGTGGGGTGTGGATGCAATCTCTGGGGAAGTGGACAGACAATAGGAAGCCGACTCCCTTCAGGCTTATGCAAAAATCAGCCTCACCCACGCCCAGGGACCAGGGATGGGAGGCTCTCATTCTAGGATTTAACCTTAAGGTCTTCCCCAAGGACTGGCATTCAGGAAACTCTGAGGTCTGGGTTTTAACTTTGCAAAGCCTCCTATGATACCATTTTAATGACAGAACAGAGGCCACGGCAATGCCCCAAAGGTCCACTTGGCCCCTCAGAAAGAAAGAGCCAAGTATCCGAGTGACACGCATACTCACTTAAGAAAGGGAGGAGGGAGGACCCGGGCAACTATAGGCCTGTCAGTCTTACCTCAATCCTGGGGAAACTCTTTGAGAAGATCATCAAGGAGCACATCTGTGACGGGCTGGCATCGGGGATGACGCTCAAGGGCAACCAGCACGGTTTCATTAGGGGCAGGTCATGTCAGACCAACCTGATTGCCTTTTACGATCAGGTCACAAATGCATTGGATGCAGGTGTCGCCGTGGATGTAGTCTTTCTGGACTTCAGCAAGGCCTTTGACACCATCTCCCACCCCATCCTCATTAAAAATCTAGGCGACTGTGGCATCGATGCCTACACGGTCAGATGGATTGCTAATTAGCTGAAGGGTCGTACTCAGAGGGTGGTGGCGGACGGGTCATATTCGACCTGGGGGGAAGTAGGCAGCAGAGTCCCACAGGGCTCGGTCCTTGGGCCCACGCTGTTCAATTTCTTTATCAGCGATTTGGATGACGGGGTGAAAAGCAACCTGTTCAAATTTGCTGATGATACCAAAATTTGGGGTGAGGTGGGCACGCTAGTAGGGAGGAAAAGACTGCAGAAAGACCTGGATAGGTTGCAGGGGTGGGCTAACAAAAACAGGATGCGTTTCAATACGGACAAGTGCAGGGTGCTGTACTTGGGCAGTAGTAACCAGCAGCACACTTATAAGATGGGAAACTCCCTTCTTGAGAGCACGGAGGCAGAAAGGGATCTTGGAGTCATCATTGATTCCAAGATGAACATGGGCCAACAATGCAAGGTCACAGTCGTCAGGGCTAACCGGACCCTATCGGGCATCCACAGGTGCATCTCGAGTAGGGCCAAGGAGGTGATCCTCCCCCTCT